AGAGAAACCCCTTTGACTTCAATGCGCATGCGTCAGTACTGCCGTCTGCTGTCATCTGTGTGAACTATACAGTTGTGTTAATGTTTCTTAAACCTTGTGTCCACGATGCTAGAAATCAGTCCGAGACCTCGGGTGAAGAAATAATTGACCAATCGCAATGGTCATGTGATCAAATTGTTCAAATGTGATTTGTTAATTTTTTCTCTGTCCGAGATCTCGGATCGATTTCTAGCATCGTGGACACAAGGCTTTACACACTGATGTTGTTATGTTGCCGTCACATGCAGCGTAACCTGCGTAAGCGTATAACCTGCGTATTCTAGTAATTTACTAGATAGAATATATGTTACACCATTCTGAAGACTGGCATTCACATAGAGCGTATTTCGCAGAATTTAAAGAAACGCGGAACTAATGTAACCAATTGCTGATTAGAATTTCTCTTGTACACTCTAACAGAAATGCTAAATAAATTTACGATTGATTTTCGTAACCTACGCATCTCGAAAAGTACGCCTCATGAGGAACCGACATCTTTCCATCGCGTACATATGAGCGGATGATCGAATAAATTATTAAAATCGGAAAGTTTTGTGAAACCACTCTTAGGCTTATCTGATGCATTTTTGCATGAAACAAAAGAATCTGACAAAAAAAAACGTCGTTCTGCCTTGTGATCTGAGATATTAAGCTTTAAAGTTGATGACTATTGAGGTTAGGAAATCTGTCACAGAGGCAAAATGAGGTCTATAATTGTACTGTTCCACATGGGTTTCGACTTTTCACGCGATGCAAAGAGGCGCACGACTTCTGTAATTGTACTATTGCAAAATCGAAACTCTTGTGCATTTTTTCAGACAGAATAAGCTAAATGAGCCAGAAATTAGATTCGACGCATTATGGTTCTATCATGTTTCGGCGTAACAAAATAGCGTAAAAAGCATAAAGTGACTAGACAAAAACTGATGTTCAAGTGAAATGATATGATTGGTCGGCGCAAGTTACGCTTACGCAAGTTAGCCCGGATCCTCATACGGGCAACAGCGCTTTGACACCGAATGCTGATTGGTGAAAAACGAATGATGAAGGTAAATTTTACCCCCACAACCGACTTTTCACCAATTAGCGCTCTGTGTCAAAGCGCTGTTGCCCGTATGAGGATCTGGGCTTACGCCGCATGTGACAGCACCCTCACACGAAGAAATAAGACGCATATGTCAGCAAGATTATCATGTGTGAGGTTATATTTGAAGAAGTATAAAATCGCGTGACTGTCTACAAAGCATCAATATGAAGTATTGTCTGCCTGGGTTTGGGCAGAGAAGTAAAAAAGGCCTTTTATTTCATAGGTAACAATAATTGAAGTGACATTATTTTTGTTTAAATACTATTCACGTCTATATAGATTTCCATACATCGATAGTACATCGATCGATACATCGATCGCAATGCACGCGCGAACGCTTCTGATTCGCTCAAATATCACACCAAATCAAAATGGCGGCTGATCAATTGCAGCCACGAATTTTCCTGCCCTTTTCAGTGTTATATAGCGTTTTCGATTGGGCAAAAGTTAGTGCGCACCAGTGCGCACTCAGTTCACACCAACATTGGACGAGTTCCATGGGTTGCACTGAATAGTGCAAGTTCAAAAGAATACGCCAAGATTTTCAGCGCTAAAGCTGAAACTCATTTTTGTTCACTTTGAAGCAATGTTCAACAAAATGTTACAAAACCACAGTAAAAGATATTAAGAGTAGGGACAAGACCCCGTTTTCAATTCAACTGCGCAGATTTGCTTGTCCCTATGTATATCCT